AGAGAAAGCAGCAACAGGAAGCTCAGTTCAGAATTGTTGGCTCTTACAACTGGGGTGCTCCTGTAGAAAATGAAGACAGCTAAAACTGCAGTTGAAAAAAGTGCCCCAAGCACTGAGACTGTTGTCAAAGAGATTCCTAAACTCTCCCCATATGAAAGAAACTCTATTTCCTTCAAAACACACTGGTCTCTGTTTGGATTAGACCAGAATTCTGGGGGGCATTTGAAACACTCAATGGAATCTATAAGAAAGAGAAACATTAATTTAATTATAATACCAATTATATTATATATAATTATATTATAATACTAAAAATGTAATAGTTAGATTTTTGTTTAAAACGAAAAGTGTCAAAGGAAGATTCCTGTAGACTGCTGAATGACTAGTGTGAGAGAAAACAAAGCAAACTTTAAATTAAGATAAGTTCACTTTATTGGCCATATACAATTTCTTACATCAGGAATTTTTCTTTTCGCATACCCAACTTGCTCTCCATGAGACACAGTGAGGGAGAGAAGCTTTGGGTCAGAGCACAGGGTCAGCCATTCATACAGCAACCCTGGAGCAGTTGGGGTGAAGAGCCTTGCTCAGGGGCCCAACAAAGTAGGATTCCACTGCCCGCCGCAGGATTTGAACTGGCAACCTTCCAGTTACAAACACAGATCCATAGCCACAGTGCTACCACTCCACCCAAATTAATTATTTTGTAACAGTTAAGTAAAAAACTATTAAATAATCATTTACTTATGGGGATAATATAGGGGATAAAAGCTGCTAACATTTTCTTTTGAGGCTACTGTGCTATATTCAAATTCAAGGAGTTTATTACCATGACAGATAAATTAGTGCATTTACAAAGCAGAAACAATTAAAAGTAGAAACATATATTCAACATATATACAGTATAATGAACTTTAGGAGACTTTAGAAACTTATGTTGAGAAATCCTGGACTGCCTTATACTTCAAAATGTCCACAAGTCAACACGCATGTTGATATGTGGATTTACTACAGTGAACAAAGTGTTATAAAGGAAATGTGTATTTTTAACACAAAACATTAATAAACATTGATCAAAATTATGACAGCCTGCCCACCTGTGTGGTTGCTGATCTCTCCCTCTGCACAAGGCACACAGTCGAAACAGCAGAGGGGCTCCCCTTTCCTGGTTGCCTTCCTGGTGCCAGGCTGACAGCTTTCACTGCACACAGACCTGGGGGGCTGGGGAAGAACAATGTCTTTTTAAGATTATATAAATGATTTTTTTTAATTCTGTTATAATAGCAATTAAATTAAATCAGTCATCCTTTAAATATTAGGTATACTATACTTATAGTAAAAATAAATTGGCGTAATGCCTGTGAAGCTACAGTACATCATCTGTTTTTCTAATACTGAGACACTCACACCTCTCAACAATAAGACAGCTATTATAAAAACATATATATGAAAACTGAAGTATAGACACAGCTAAAACATTGAAGCAAATTTCTTACTTTACACTTTACACTGATCTTACAAAAATCAAATAAAAAAGAACATGAAGAATTCAATGTAAAAGTTATACATCATAACAACAAATTCAAAGTCTGACAAATCAATTCAATGAATGCTTATTTTGCCAAAAATGAGAAATACTTAATTTTAAATACGCAAAAAAGCACACAAACATGTTGAT